GCTCCCCCCGTGCCCCGCGTCCCCCCGGCGTGTCCCCCGTCCCCTCCCGCGCGTCCCCGCGTGTCCCGCTCCCCGCGTGGCCCCCTCCCCGCCCCCGGCCCGCCCCCGCGGGGGTGGGGAGGGGGGCGGAGGGCGGAGCTCCGGACGCGGAGCCACTTCTTTGGATAAGAGGCGCGGGGCCACGGGGATGGGCAGGTGGAGCGTGTGAGGGCAGCGGCGGCAGCAGCAGGGCAGGGCGGCCCCCCAACTCCCTTTCCCCCCGACGGCACTTTTGGGGACTTTCCGGGTGTTACGGGCTATTTTTTTTCTTTTTTTTTTTTTTTTTTTTTTTGCGGGGTTTGGTTTTTTAACCCCTTCTCCCTTGGCCGTTCCCGGGTCGCCGAGGGTCGCCGCCCCCCCGGGACCCCCGGGCATGGAGGGGGCGGCGGGAGCCCGGCGAGGCGGGCAGCGCTGACGGGCGCCCGGCTCCGCGTCCCGGGGACCCCCATGAGCGGCTGAGCGGGGCCGGCGCCCCCCGCTCCGTCCATGGGCGCGCTGGAGCCGGGCACCGGAGCCCCCCGCCCCGCCGCCCCCATGCTCAGCGCCGCCGCCACCTTCGCCAAGGAGCCGCCGGGCCCCCGGGACGCCGCCGCCTCTTACTACGGGGACGGGGGGACGGCGGAACCGGGAGCCCCCCCGCTCCCTTACGGCGCTCCCGGCGGCTTCGGCGGCCGGTTCCTGGGGCCGTGCCCGCCCTACCGGGCGCCGCCGCCTCCCGCCGCCCCGGTGGAGGGTTACGCGGGCGCGGAGGGCGGTTTCGGCGGCGGGGGGGCCCCGCTGTGCCCCCCGCTCTGCGCCCTGCCCGGGTACCGCGCGGCCGGGAAGGTGCAGGTGATGCTCAACAACTATCCGCTCTGGGCCAAGTTCCACAAGCACCAGACCGAGATGATCATAACCAAGCAGGGCAGGTGAGCGGGGGGACCGGGAGGGGAAAGGGGATGGACCGGGGCGGGGGAGCGGCGGGAACCGGGAGGCACCGGGAGGTGGGACCAGCGGGGCACTGGGGGGGACTGGGGGGGACCGGAGCGCACCGGGACGGACGGGAGCGGCGGGGACCGGGGCGGACTGGGGTGTACCGGGGCAGGGGACTGTCGGAGGAGCAGTGGGAGATCAGGGCTGGGGACCGGTGGGGACCGGGGCAGAGAACCGGCAGCGGCACCGGGACCCCCACGGACCCCGGAGACTGTGGGAGTCTGGTCTGGGCAGAGATACGGGCACGGGGGATGAGGGGTGGGCACGGCGGCGCAGAAAGGGGGGATGGGACAGGCCGGGAGGGCTGTGGGGTGGGCCCGGAGGGAGCTGGCACGGTGAGGGGCTGAGGGTTTCTGCCTCGTGTCCTCAAAGGGCTGGAGATGTGAGAACTGTTTTTGGGTCTGGGGGTCCCTCTTTGCCCGCGCAGTGGGGGGGGGTGGGGTGTGCAAGGGGGGGCCCCCCATCCCTGTGGGTTGGGGGGTGACATCTTGCTGTGTGGGCAAAGGAAAAAAATGGGGGGGGAACCAGAACGGATTTCCCTGGTCTTGTTTTATATGGAAGTTGAGGCTTGTTGGAAGGAGAAGGGAGGATGGGGAGTCTCCCCACCCGTGTCAGGGTGGGACAGGGGGGTCCAGACCCCCCATGTGAGGAAGCTGGCAGAGATGGTGCCAGTTCTGGGGGCCTGGAGGCAGCATTTATCCGGCCTCAACCCATGGGCTTGATCCGGAGCCTGGCACTGCAACAAGTAGTGAGAGGCCTCAGCTGCCCATGGGCACCGTGGGTGGGTGGGTGACACCCCCTCTACTCACTTTCCGTGCTGGAAATGCCCCCCCTCCTCCATGGGCCAGACAGGGGCTGGGTGCCCCTCATGTGCCCAGGGAAGGGGCAGCATTTTGGCAACGTCCTGGGTGCCAAAACTTCCCTTGGTGACGCCATGGCCGGGTACCCTCTGTCCCCTCTGTGCTGCCTCCAGCCTGGGGTGTTCACAGGGTGTGAGTTGGGGGCCTGGGACAAGGTTGGGGGGCTAAAATTCACCCCACCTCTGCCAACACCCCTGTTTGGGGGGTCTGGAGGGGGCCGGGTGCGACACAGGCCCTATGGGGCCGTGGAGCCGCCACAGCTTGGAGCAAGGGGAGCCCAAAATGCTGAGCCCATCCTTTGGCCCCACAGGGTGACGTGGGTGGGGGTAACCAGGCCCTGGGCTGCAGCCTGGGGGCCTCGGTGGGATCACGCTGGGGTGAGGAGGGGAATACGAGCATGGCAGGGGCTCAGCCGCCTGAGGGGCTCCCAAAAATCCGTGCCGAGGGGAAAACAGGGCAGCAACCCCTGCTGTGTGCTCAGCAGCTGGCAGAGAACCCCCCAGCCCCTCCTGCCGCGCCGACCCCCCCCTCCCCTCCCGCTGCCATCCCTCCGCCCAGGGGGGCTCTTCCTGGCCAGCGCCGGGGCCGCCGGCAGCGCCCGCGCCCCTTCCCTCCCTCGGCCGAGACAGATGGTGTCACTTCGATGCTGAGACCAACCTGCTTAATGTGTTGGAAGTCTAAACACGTTAGGGCCGCTTGGTTTGCCACGGCCCTGCCCGGGCCCGGCTCCCCCCGCAGGGCTCGGGGCCGCTCGGAGCGGGTGACGACGTGTCCCCAGCCCCGCCGAGGGGGTGGCAGGGCACCCCAAATGGTTGTTCCTCGCACACCATCCCCCCCAGTTTGTACAGAGACACGCTGAAATTCCAGTTCTTCCCTCCTCTCTTCCCCCAGCCATCACGGCGGGCGCTGGGGCGGCGTCAGGATCTGGTGCTGAGGGGTCTGAAAAATGGGGTGAGCCCCCAAATCCCATTATCTCTGCCCCGCTGCCTGAAACCAGGCGATTTTGGGGCTCTTTTCCCAGCTCCATCCCCTCCCCAGCGTCCCTACAGAGGTTCTGGGGATGGGGGGGGTGTGTGGGTTGCTCTGAGCTCAAGGGGGCTCACGGCAAACCCGTCCCGTGGAGACGTCGAGCTCGGAGCCACAAAACATCCGTTTCCCCCAACCCCGAGCTGCTCTTGCAAACCTCGGCGTGCAGGGCCGGGCTGCAGCGCTGCTGAGGCACAGGAAAAACCCCAGTGTGAGGCTCCAGGGGGACGGGAGCCCCAAAATGGGGACCCAAGGGGGATGTGTGCCCCCCAAAGTGGGGACCCGCCGGGCTGGGGGGCTCTGGGGCAGGGCAGGGGACACGTTCTTGTCCTGCTGTTGGCGTGGGTGCTTCATCTCTCCGGGCCACGCTGGTCCCTCAGCGCCGGCATCCTTGGGGTGCAGCCCCCTGTGGACCCACGGAGGGAGCTGAGGATGGGTGGGAGATGGTGGCACTGGCATGAACCTGCTCAGGCGCTGAGATTTACCCTGCTGGCGTCTTTTTTGCCCTCTCCTGCCCCTCTGCCCCGGCTCCAACACACCATCCCGTGCCATCCCACCCCATCCCACGCCATCCCACCCCCCGTCATTCCCTCCAAGATAATTTCCTACTGGTTTCCCGTGTGGCTCCCCATCCTTCCTGTGCCCCCCACGGCTCTCAGGGCTCAGCCAGGGCAGGATTTCTCTGGAAACCCCCAAGGACTCGCCGGTGCCCCGACTGCAGCGGGCCCGGGGAATTCCTGCCGTGAGGCTCTGCCGTGAAACCGGGGCTGCCTCTGCATTTTGGGGGTTCACGAGGGCTGGCTTTGCCTTTTGGGGGCACACAGGGGCTGGCTTTGCCTTTTGGGGGCACAGAGGGGCTGGCCCTGTCTTTTGGGGGTACATAAGGGCTGTCTTTGCGTTTGAGGGGGGTCTCAGTGCTGCCTTTGTGGGGTGCAGGGGCTGCCTTTGGGGACACGAGGGCTGGCCTTCCCTTTGGAGAGGACACTGGGAGGGCTTTGGGGACACGGGGTTGGCGTTGCCTTTGAAGGGGACACGGGACAGCTTTGGGGACACAAGGGCTGGGTTTGCACTTGGCAGACACGAGGGCTGGCTCTGGCTCGAGGGGCGCCGGGCGATGCCGTGCACCTGGAGGGGCACGAGGGCTTTTTGTGGGGCTCAGGGACGGTGCCCGGCTGGCAGCTCTGCAGGGTGGGAGGCAGCAGCGCAGCCGTGGGGTGACATGTCCCCGTGTCGTGCTGTGCCGTGACATGTGGCTGTGCCGTGCCACCCACACCGAGCAGCACAGCTGTGCCAGGCAGCACCGTGCAGATGTGCCATGCCATGCCACTGTGCCATGTCACCATGACATGCCACTGTCCATGTCACCGTGCCATGTCACCATGACGTGCATTGCCATGCCACTGTGCCATGTCACCATGACGTGCATTGCCATGCCACCACGCCATGCCACCACGCCATGTCACGCAGCTGTGCCACGTCACCGTGCCATGTGTTGCTGTGCCACCACACCATGTCACCGTGCCACCCGTTGCTGTGCAGCCATGTCATGCTGCCATGCCATGTCACTGTGCCACACGTTTCTGTGCCACTGTGCCGTGTCCAGCAGCCGTGACATGCCACTGTGCCATGCCACTGTGCCATGCCACCGTGCCATGCTTTGCTGTGCCACTGTTCCCTGTCACCATGTCACTCGTTGCCACGCAGCCATGCCATGCATTGCCGTGCCACCGTGCCGTGTCACCATGCTGTTTCCAGCACCCATTCCATGTCACCGTGCCATGTTCAGCAGCCATTCCACGTCACCGTGCCGTGTCCAGCAGCCCCATGCCATACCCCTGTGCCATGTCACCGTGCCATGCAACCATTCCATGTCACCGTGCCGTGTCCAGCAGCCGTGCCACCCCGCCGTGCCCTGTCCCCGTGCCACCCAGCCGTGCCGCGGGGGCTGCACCATCTCCCACCCGGCCGCGGTGGCTCCTGCGGTCACCGCGCTGCCGTCGCGGGGGGGGAGGAGGCGGCTCAGGAAGCCGCAGCCCCCTCTCGATGCGCTGCCGGGGGTGATGGTGGGGGGAGAGAACTGCCCTGGGGGGTGGGTTGCGCTCCTGGACCTCCAGGTTTTCCTTCCGCCCGGGGTCATCCGGAACGCGCTCCCTGTGCCTCCATCACGGTGCCCGCAGGGCTCCGTGTCACCAGGTGACGCCCTGGATGTGCCGCTGTGTTCCCCTGGTCCCTCCCTCTGTCCCCGTGTCCCCCCCAACCCCTCGAGCAGGGGGGTTCATTCGGGGACAAACCTCGGGGCACGCCGAGAGCCCGGAAACAAAAACACAAAGGGCGAGACGCGCGGTGCCCACCAGCTTTTGGGGTGGGCGGGAAGGGGGGGGTAGAACCGGGTTGGGGCACCTCCCAAACCGCAGTGACCAAACCCGGGGGAGCCGAGCGCTGCCCGAGCAGCAGCCCCGGCAGCTCGAGCGCTGGGGGGATTTAAAAATAAAGGCGAGGCGAGCGTGGTTTCGGGCCTTGCCCCCACCCTGCCGTGCCCGGCCGGGCCGTGCGGTTTTCCCCGCGGCAGCGTGTGAGCGCCGAGCCGCGCTCGCTGCCAGCGGGGGCTCGGGGCTCCGAGCGGAGCGAAGAGAGAGAGAGAGAAAAAAAAACCCAAAACCAACTTAAAAAAAAAAAAAAAAAAGGGCTGGTTCTTTCCTCCCTGCTCCTTGCAGCAGCTCGGGCTGGTGCAGCGCCCAGGCTGGGGCTCGCCCCGCGGTCACCCAGCGCCGGGCTCGGCGTTCGGGCGCCCGGAGCGCGGCGGCCCCGAGGTGGTTTTTAATGCGGCTGCAGCTTTTATCAGTGGCAGGAAACCCCCGTCCCTCGGCACGGCCGCGTCTGTCTCGCTCCAGAGGAGCTTTAGGGATACGGGAAGGGGGGACGGGGGCTGTGAGGGCTCGGAGGGACCCCGGGATGTGCGGGACCACCGTCTGTGCCGAGCACGGGGAGCACGTGTGCAGCTCCTCACCACGAGTGCTGCTTTCTCTGTTTCTTTCTCTTTTTCGTTCTCTTTTTCTTAATCTCTTTATCTCCTTCTTTTTATTCTTCTTTTTCTTTATCTTCTTTATCTTTTTATTCTTCTTTGTCTTCTTCTTCTCCTGCTTCTCTTTTTTATTTTCTTCTTATTTTCTTCATCTTCTTCTTTTTCTTGTGTTCGTTTTTCTTCTTATTTTGCTTCTTTTTCTTAACCTGAATCTTAACTTTAATCTTAATCTTCTTTTTCTTTTCTCGTTTTCTTTTTTCCCCTCTATTTCTTTTTCATTTCTTCGTATTACTCTTTTCTTCTTTCTCTTTCTCTTCTCCCCTTTTCTTCTCTTTCTTTTTCTATTCTCCCCCCCACCCCTTCTCCCGCGAGGGCAACTTTGAGTCAGCGGCACCCGCCGACTTTTCTTTCCACCACCCTTTGCATTCCACTTCCCCGAGCCCCGTTTCCTGCCCGGCACAAGGAGCTCCGTGTTTCCCCCCAGCCCCTCGCTTTGCTCCTGGGGAGAGGGACGAGCAGGGGTTCGGGTTCTCCCCTTCCACCACGGTTGGAGGTCCCGCTGTGAACCTGAGTTGGGGTGACCCGGGGTCAGGGGTGGACATGAGGGACTGATCAGGGAGCGGGGAGTGCGATCTCCCACCCCGGAGCCGGGATTTGGGGGGACGGCCGGGGGGGACAGCGGGGTGCAGCCCCTCTGGGGGGGTGGCAGCTGCAGGCGGCCACAGGGTCCCCCCCGGGCCGTCCCATCTTGTCCCCTTCCTGCCCTTGGCACAGGCTGGCGCCCAGCCCGAAATAGCAGCGGTGTTGGTTTCCGATCCGGAAGGTGCTTGGGGAGGGGGAGGAAGATACCGGGAGGGGGGGAATCGGCCCCGAGAGCATCCCCCAGCTGCCGGGGTCACTCAGCTCCTCACGGGCACCCAGCCTGGCGTGGGAAGGGGGGGGGGTGGGCATCGCGCTGCCTCAGTTTCCCCATCACCCCCCACCACTCCCAGTGCCACCCTGTGCGCCAGCGGCCGGGCCGGGGGGTGACGGCGTCTCTGTGCCTCTGTCCCCTCCCCAGGCGCATGTTCCCCTTCCTCAGCTTCAACCTGTCGGGGCTCAACCCCGTGGCCCACTACAGCGTGTGCGTGGACGTGGTGCTGGTGGATCAGCACCACTGGCGCTACCAGGGCGGCAAGTGGGTGCAGTGCGGGAAAGCCGAGGGCAACATGCCAGGTACGACATCCCCCTCGTCCCCTTCCTCGTCCTCCTCGTGGTGCCGGGAGCGGGGTAACCCCGTCCCTGCTCACCTCCCTGTCCGCAGGGAACCGCCTCTACCTGCACCCGGACTCGCCCAACACGGGCGCGCACTGGATGCGGCAGGAGGTTTCCTTCGGGAAGCTCAAGCTCACCAACAACAAGGGCGCGTCCAACAACGTGGGGCAGGTAGGTGAGGGCCCCGCCGCCGTGCCAGGCTGGGTCGGGTCCCCCTGTGCCCCCTCCCTGACTGCCCGCTGCCCCCCTTCCCTCCCCAGATGATCGTGCTGCAGTCGCTGCACAAGTACCAGCCCCGGCTGCACGTGACGGAGGTGAAGGAAGGGGAGGGGGAGGACGGGTACCCCTCCCCGCACACCCACACCTTCGCCTTCCCCGAGACGCAGTTCATCGCCGTCACAGCCTACCAGAACGCCGACGTGAGTACGAGACCCCCCTGCCACTCCCCGGCTTGGAGACACCCACCAAAAAGCCCCCCCCCAGCAGCACAGGAGCCCCAGCGACCTCCCAGGGCCACAGAAACCAGTGACACATCCCAGTATCGTCCCAGTGACCCGCCAGGAGCAGCCCCTGGTAACCCCCCAGCACCCTCTAAGGTGTCCTCAGCATCAGGAGAACCCCCCCCATGGTATCACCCCAGGCCCCCCCGTCTGCCAACACTCCTGTCTGCAACATCTCTGCACCCCCTCTGTCCCCTCAGCTTCCCAGTGCCTCCCCCTGGATCCCCTCAGCTTCCCAGTACCTCCCCCTGGATCCTTTCAGCATCCCAGAAACCCTCCCAGTATCCCCTGCATCCCCTCTGTATCCCAGTACCTCTCTCTGAACCCCTTCAACATCCCAGTTCCCCCCCAGTATCTCCCCCTGAATCCCCTCAGCATCCCAGTATCTCCCCATGAATCCCCTTCAACATCCCAGTTCCCTCCCCATGAATCCCCTCAGCATCCCAGTAGCCCCCTCCCAGTACCCCCCGCGTTGGGAAAGGGTGGGATTCTGATGCAGTGGGGGCTGCTCGAGGGGAAAGGGATGGGAGGGAACATCCTGGAAGGGGTCAATCCGTCAGCAGCCCCCCCACCTCCGTGTTCCCCCCCGCCCCAGATCACGCAGCTGAAGATCGACCACAACCCCTTCGCCAAAGGATTCCGGGACAACTTTGACTCGTGAGTGTCCTGAGTGTCCCCCCCACCCTCTCCTGCCGGTGTCCCCCCGGCCCCGGCTGGCAGCAGGGCACACTCCCACCCCTCCCTGTGCCCCCCAGGATGTACACGGCCTCGGAGAGCGACCGCCTCACCCCGTCCCCGCCGGAGGGTCCCGGCTGCCAGCAGCTCCTGCCGGCCCCCCGCTTCCAGCCCTTCCTGCCCGAGCAGTACCCGCTGCCCCCCGGGCGCTTCTTCGGGGGGGAGCGGGGGGCTCCCCCTCTGTCCCTGCCCCCCAAAGACCCCCCCCACTGGTACTTCCCCCCGCAGCAGCCCCCCGCCGCCGGGGCGCTGGAGTATGGCGGCTACGACGGGGGCTACGGGGGGGGCAAACTGGTGCCCTACGGGGTGAAACCCTTCGCCCTGCCGCCCGCCCCGCACCCCCCCCTGCCCTACTACCCCGAGGGGCCGGGGGGCTTCGGGGTGACGGGGGGCTGGAGCCCCGGGCAGTACGGCCCCAAGGGCGGCGCCGGGGCTCTGGGCTGGTACCGGGAGCCCCGCGAGGAGAAGGGCAAGGAGGTGGAGGGCTGGGCCCCCGAGCCCCCCGCCCCCGCCTCGGGGGACTCGTCGGACTCGGGGCTGTACGAGTGCAAGCGGCGGCGGGTGTCCCCGTACCCGTCCAGCGCCGAGAGCTCCCCCCCGCCCCGCAACGGCGACCTCTACGACAAGGACCCGCTCGCCGACGGCGGCTACTACGGCTTCTACGGCAACTGAGCCCCCGCCCCGGGCACCGCGAGGGGTCCCGTGCGCCCACCACCCTCCCCCCCGCTATTTAACACCCATATCCTGGGCAGACTCGAGCGGGAAGGGGGGGGGCCCAGCCAGACAATCAGCCCCCGGTGCCGCCCCGGTGGGGCCGCGGGGACGGGCGGGGAGGGGCGGGGGGGGATGGCGAGGAGGGGTTTTTTTGTTGTTGTTGTTGTCGATGGTTTTTAAGGGCGGGGGGGTCGGGGTGGGTAATGCTGAAGTATTTATTGAGCCCCCCCCGTGCCCGGCGTGGGGCGGGGGGGCAGCAGCATATCGCAATAAAGGGGCACTGTGGGGACTCTGCTCAGCTCTGTGTGTGTGTGAGGGGAGGGAAACAGGCACGGGGAGGGGGGGCTAAGGGTGCCCTCCCCCTTCCTGGAGGGCCCTGAGCCCCGGGGGTGTTGCAGGGCAGGGGGAAGGAAGCTCTCTGCGCACCCCAACTCTTCACAGCCTTTATTAGAGCAGCCCCTGGGCACAGTTTGGGGGAGGGAGGGGGGGCAGAGGGGTCTTCCCGCCCGCGGGCACCCCCCGTTCCCCCACTCCCAGGCATCTTGTGCCCCCGGGGCAGGGGGGGCACTGCCCCAGCTGTCCCCAAGGCTCTGCCCCGGGTCGGGGGTGGGGGAGCATTGCCAGTGCCCCCCCCTCCCTCTTTTATATCACAGTTTTGTTTAAACACCAGCAAAATGGCTCAGAGAGGGCGGGGGGGGGAACACTGCACCCCCCCCAGTGCCGGGGGGACCAGCCCCACTGCTGTGATGAGCTGGGGGGAGCTCAGAGCCCCGTAGGGGGGTCGCTACCAGAGCACTGCACTGTCCAGGTGGGCAAAGCCGGGGTCCAGGCGCAGCTTCCAGTAGGTGTTGTTGGTGACCCACGACTCCTTGCCACTGGCATCCATCAGCCTCCTGGGGATGGAGTGTGTGTGGGGGGGTGTTTGAGGTGGTCTCGGGACTTCCAGGGGGGTTTTCATCATTTCCTGAGACCCCCACATTCCCCTGAGCCATGGGGTGCCCTCGGGACTCCAAGGAGGGGTTTCCTCATTCCATGAGAGCTCGGCACACCCCTGAGCCACGGGATGCCCTTGGGACTTCCACGGCGTCTCCCCATTCCCTTAAAACCCCCCCACATCCCTGAGCCATTGGGTGTTCTCAGCATTCCCAAGAAGGGGTTCCCCATTGCATAAGAGCCCCACATCCCCCTGAGCATTGGGGTGCCCTCAGGACTCCTGGGGAGGGGTCTCCCCATTCCCTGAGATCTCCACATCCCCCTGAGAGCCCCACATCCCCCTGACCCACGGGGTGCCCTCAGCATTCCCAGATGTTCTCCCAGTTCCCTATGAGCCCCACATCCCACCCAGCCACGGGGTGTCCTCAGGATCCCGAAAGGAGCTTCCCCATCCCATAAGAGCCCCGCACCCCTCCAAGCCACAGGGTGCCCTCGGCACTCCCAGGGGGTCTCCCCATTCCCTGAGATCCCCACATCACCCTCAGCATTCCCAGAGGTTCTCCCAGTTCCCTATGAGCTCCACATCCCACTGACCCATGGAGCATCCTCAGGGTCCTGAAAGGAGCTTCCCACACCCCTCCGAGCCACAGGGCGCCCTCAGCTCTCCCGGGGGGGTCTCCCCATTCCCTGAGAGCCCCACATCCCGCTCACCCACGGGTTTCCCAGCCCCAGGAGGGGAGCACCCCCTAAAGCCAGACCTGAAGAAGCGCGCCTGGTGGGTGATGTTGTTCTCCTCCATGACGCGGCGCCGGTCCCGCTGCAGCTGCTCGATCTGCCGCTTCTGCGCCTCGGCCGCCGGCACGTTCCCCTCCTCCAGGTACCTGCGGGGGGGAAACGGGGACAGGACGCGGCTGTGACGAGCCGGGTGGGCCTCGGAGGGTCCTCTCCCCGGCGCCGGGGGGAGCAGCAGGCTCACCGCTGGTCGGGGCGCAGCCGCGTGTCCGTGGAGGGCAGGACCCGGCGCAGCTCCGGCGTGAGCTCGTTCAGCTCCAGGGCGAACTGGGTGAAGCCGTAGTTCCTCTCGTGGTCGCGGGGCATGGGGTCTGAGCGGGAGGGCGGGACGGCGCTGAGAGAGACTCCCGGCACGGGGTAACCCCGGGATATCCCACCCCGGGATATCCCCCCCCGGGGTGGTCCTTACTGGCCTTCCAGACGCACTGGCCCGGGGCGGGCCCGCGGTGCAGCCCCTCGTGCCACTTCCCCGCCAGGCGCTCCACGGGGGTCCCGCTGCGGCTCAGCACGGCCCCCTGCACCTCGTTGGCCCCCGCGCCCCAGTACCGAGCCTGCGGCCACCGGGACGTGGGCAAGGGCCAGGGAGGGCTGGGGGAAAGGGGGGGGAAAGGGCGGGGCTATTGGGGAAGGGTGTGGCCATCGGGAAAGGGTGTGGCCATCGGGAAAGGGTGGGGCCATCGGGAAAGGGTGGGGCCATTGTGAAAAGGTGAGGCCACTTGGGAAGGGGGGGGCTATTGGGAAAAGGTTGGGGCCAAGCTTGATGGGAGGGGTCTTCTGAAAAAGGGTGGAGTCGTTGGGAAAGGGTGGGGCTACTGGGAAAAGGGTGGGGCCACCAGTGATGGGAGGAGTCTTCTGAAAAGGGCGGGGCTATAGGGAAAGGGTGGGGCCCTGAGGGATGGGAGGAGACTTCTGAAAAGGGAAAGGGTGGGGCCAGGAGGGGCGGGGCTAACAGGAAAGGGCACGGCCAATGGAAAAGGGTGGGGCCATGAGTTAGGGGGTGGAGTCACTGGGAAAGGCTGGGGCACTAAGAGGGGCAGGGCTAACAGGAAAAGGGAGGACCCATTGGGAAAGGGTGGGGCCAGGAGCAAGGGGTGGGGCTACTGGGAAAGGGTGTGGCCACAAGTGATGGGGAGGGGCCATAAAAAGGGTGTGGCACTAAGGGGGGTGGAGCTACTAGGAAGGGGTGGAGCTATTGGGAAAGGGCGGGGCCATAACTGGGGGCTGGGCCAGGAAAGGGATGGAGCAATAACACAATTAAGATTAATGAGTAGGTGAAGGGGCGGGGCCAGGCCATTTTGGCGCAGAGAGGCGGAGTCAGGGCAGGTGGGAGGGTGGGGCTATGGGGTGGGCAGGTGGGCACACCTTGCAGAAGGTGAGCTTGCAGTGGTAGGAGGCGTCGCGGGTGTTGCGGATCAGCACCTCCCCGTAGTGCTCGATCCAGCGGGGCCCGCTCAGCACGTTGTGGATGCACGTGGTCACCTTGTTCCACTCGTAGTGGTCCCCGGTCCTGCGGGCACCGCCCACGTTGGACGGGGAGGGAGGGAGGGCAGGGGGGCACAGAGGGGCGTGGGGGGCCCACCAGCGGGGCCGGGGTCTCACCTGGGCAGCTGCACGTTGACGGTGCCCATGGGGACGATCTCCAGGGACTTGCCCCAGAATTTGTTCTTCCACCTCATGTCTGGGAAGGGGGGGTGGGAGAAGGTGAGACCCCTCCAGTCCACCCACCCCACGGGGGAGACCTCCCGGTGCCCAACACCCTCCTGGGCGCTCACCTTGCCAGAAGATGAAGTTGTCGGACTCGGCGTGGCAGGCGGAGATGGGAGGGTGGTGGGAGACCTGGGGGGGGGACAAGAGGGACATGCCAGTGCCCCATCCAGCTCCGTGCCCCCCTCGTGCCCTCCCCGTGCCCCCCCCAGTGCCCACCTGCTCGCTGATGAAGCGGAAGCCTCGGTCAGGCCTCACACACTCGTAGGTCTCCCCCAGCACGGGGTTGAAGGGTTTGCTGCCCGCCCGGTAGTAGGTGGAGGCGTAGGCGGACACGGCGAAGGCGGCCACGTACACCTGGCACCACAGCCAGCACGCTGCTGCCACCACCCTGGGGACAGCCACCCACCTGCCCTGGGGACAGCCACCCACCCACCCTGGGGACAGCCGCCCACCCACCCTGGGGACAGCCACCCACTCACCCCGGGGACAGCCACCCCCCTGCCCTGGGGACAGCCACCCCCCTGCCCTGGGGACAGCCACCCACCCGCCCTGGGGACAGCCGCCCACCCACCCTGGGGACAGCCACCTCCCTGCCCCGGGGACAGCCACCCACTCACCCCGGGGACAGCCACCCACCCACTGGTCCCCACCCAGCCCTGTGCCCTGCCCTGTTCCCACAAATCCCATGTGTCCTCAGGCTCCCCCTGAGCTCCCTTAAATCCTCGAAGTCCTCCAGTCCTTCCACGTCCTTGAGCTCCCTCATGTCCCCGAGCCCCCTAAATCCTCAGTCTCTCCTGTCCCCCCATGTCCTCGAGCTCCCCTGTGTCCCCTGAGTCTCCTAAAACCTCCCCAAGTCCCTCCACGCTCTCAAGATCCTCCATGTCCCCTCAGCCCCTTCTGGCCCTAAGCCTCCCTACCCCCATGTCCCTCGAGTTCCCCCTTGTCCCCTGAGCCCCCTCAATCCTCCGAGCTCCCCAAGTCCCTCTGTGACCCTCCACATCCCCCGACCCCCCACATCCCCCACGCCCTTGCCCTCCTTGTGCCCTCTCCGCTCCAAAGACCCCTCTGTCCCTTGAGCTGTCCCCGAGTTCCCAAGCCCTGTGTCCTCCCTGAGCTCTCAAGCCCCCCTTGTCCCCCGAGTCCCTCTGTGTCCCCCGAGCTCCCGGTATCCCCAACCTCCCGGTGCTCCCCGAGCCCCCAATCCCCGGCGTGTCCCCTGAGTTGCCCCACGACCCCGAGCCCCCCGAGTGTCCCCCGGTGTGTCCCCCCCTCACCAGTCGCTGCCGGGGGTCCCGGGCACGGCTGGCGCGGTCCAGGAGCGCGCTGTACTCCAGCTCCTCGCAGAGCCGCTGCAGCGTGTTCAGCGGCTCGTTGAGCTGCACGGGCAGCGCCACGCGGGACAGGTCCTTGCCCACGCTGCTCCTCAGGAGCCCCCACAGGCTCACGTCCCCCGACGGCGCGGGGGGCGCGGGCAACCGGCTCCGCCGCCGCGGGTCCGGCCCCGGCAGCTCCACCGGCGGCGGCTC